TCCCTTTTTGGCATTTCTCAATCATACTTTTAAGTTCATCGTTCAGGGCATAACATTCCTCTGCTTTCTTCTTTAGCTGATCATTAAGAGCAGCTACGTTTTCTTTATGCTTATTAATCATAATTTCATTGCATCTGATCTGATCTTGTAATTCAGTTACAGTTTCGTTTAATGATTTCGTGTTGTCCAACAGTTTTATTATTAAATTCAGCGAGAGTTTAATATTCGTTTGACAGGCAAACTCTTTTGTTTTGGGTTCAATACAAGTCGGTTCCGTGTTACTATTTGAGTGTGATGGACGTGGTCTCTTTGGACTCAATACGCGCCGTTCTTTGGGAGCCTTTCGCTTTCGTGGTGAATCCTGTTTCCACTGAAAAATCGAAGGACAGCATCTTGCTTCAGCTTTCTCAGACCGGCAAGGGTTTTCGTGAAGTCACTCGCTTTGAAATGTCTTCTACACACCTTGGTATGACGGTCGTCGATCACAAAATTATTGGAAATTGAAAATGAGATATCTTCTCACCATTAATCACGTATGTCTTCGTAGTACACAAAGGGGCACAACAATTTAAAACCATGTTACGAGTAGTTAGCAAGGGGACAGCGTAAAAAGATCAAATAACAACAAAGATGGCTGGCCCGACCGTCCTCGTTTTGATGTTTTTAAATAAATTAGAACCCATTACCTCACGGACATTTTGTGTCATTAGTTACGTCAGCAAAAGTTTCAATTGCACGCACAGGTGTAAAAGCTTTTAATGGAGTTGGGGATACTGCTAATCAGACAGTGGAGGTGATTGTCAAATGTAAGTCAATTTTCTTTAAGTGTACCTATATTGCTCAATAATATTCACACAAGATTTTTTTGAAACGTTCTGCAGGTAGAGATCCTCAATTCAATGGCGCTGTTATCCTCCTAACAAAGTCGTGAAATTTTGCCTTGTTTCTCAGTTATTTGATAGAACGAGAGGTTTTTGAACGATGAGGTAAAGCACCCAAAGAAACAATGACGGAAACTGAGAGCACTGTTCTAGATGGAATACACTTTTCCAGCAAAATAATTTAACGTAACTGTATGGAAAAGAACATTTCATATTTGTTATAAACAGTAGGATGCAACTTATGTCTGTGTGACGCGTGAGTAACGATAAAGAGATAAAAAGATGACCTGTAGCTTGGGTATCGGAAATTAAATTCAGGTGTGTTGAAAAGAGTACATTAGGGAGAGGGGCGAATTAATACTCTCCAATAGAAATTAAGTACCTGAGTTGACTTGAAGCTAACTCGGCCAGAAAGGAAATGGGAACAAACAAACTCTTTACTTCTTGACTTACTGTGGGTTTGAATTTATTCTTAGATTGTCTATCTGTAAGCAAAGCTTTCTGGTCTTCAGACACTGTAATTGAAGGTGACGCACATAACATGAGTTGTGAGGCAACTGGGGATCCAACGCCAAATGTTACTTCGATCACAGTTAGAAATAATCAGCGCAGTGATGGGAACTTACTGAACTTCACTAACATTGACAGAAGTGATGCTGGAGATTACAAAATATGTAGCAAACAATAGATGTGGAGTCAAAACTAAGACAGCACCTATCAGTGTATTCTGTGAGTATTAAACCAAAGTTGCTTTGGCAAACTGAAATGTAACGCCTCTTTACCAGACAATAAGAAACATAGTTCTTATTCAGCGATTGAGATGCCTTCATCGAAGAATCTTGACCGAGGTCGCCAGTACAGACCTACGAAGCTCTGATAATAACGTGGTTATTATATGGCCAAACGAGAGAGCTACAGTTTCCTTGCGTGGGCTCGGCTTTATACTTCTGTCACAGGTCTCCTGTTTACACAGTATAAAAATCACTTCGCAAATTTCATCTTTGTATATAATACGCAAAGCCGCTCTTTTCAAAGTTCAATGATTAGTTCGGCAATCAATTCTTATTCAGAGCTTTGCGATCTTGGACTGATCACAACAAAGGTTACAACTACTTTGGGCCTTTTTGCTCGAGGGCTCCTCTTCCGTATTTAAAATTGCCAACATTATTACACTCTCGTTGCCTGCTGCCTAGTCCGGTGCCAGTTACTGTTTTGAGTCCATTCAGGATTATTAAGGGGAACCACACAGATTTCACAATTGCTCTAAATAGATTAAGATGGGAGAATCTAGATAACGGTCAAGACCGATTTTAGTTGATCGATTTCTTTAATTTGACTGTTTCTTGTCCTCTTGAGAAACGGCCATATAACGAATAACTGTGAGTAAATATAAAAGGTCATGATAAAAGTTTACTTTATCGTTACTTCCTTGGAACGTAGAACTTGAGAAATTTGTGGTCAGTGATTTTGGAATCGACCACAAATTTTTACTTTGTAAACTAAATCAAAAGGGGTCCTCTTATAGAGGTTTCTATAATCTATTTGAATTTAGACACTGGGAAATTATTGAAGTGACGATACATAAGCAAGCCTGCATCCTAATGCCGCGGTACCTATACAAACCTGTTCACATAATCATTTTACGAATGAAATACCCTGTCATGCTGTACGCTGAACCTCCTCAGCTCGCTAACTGTTCGTTAGGATCTCTTTACATAGTTGAAGAGTTTTAAACGTGATTGGCATCTAAAATCGGAAGTTTTTCTTATCTTGAACACAATTACATGAAATATGCGTCGATCTATCGATCGATCAAAGTTCCCACAAAGTCTGAGTGGACATATAAGTGGCGTGGTATGACGTAGCTTTTATACTTGACACCGTTGTTGATAATTGTTCTTATTGGTACCAGTAGGGGTAATACTCCGCATATGTACATTCCGCCCTGAAGCGAATGATTTTCGAGCATAGTGTCTGATCTTGTGTTATTAAGTAAGGCATGGCAGTGATAATCTGTGATGGATAAAATTAACGCAATCGCCATTTTCTGACAGGTGACGCCTTCGAAAAAATGTGCTGAACAGCCGCAAAATAGTTATCTATTTAATTTCAGATCAACCCTCAAATGTCAGCTTGAAGACAAATGTAAAAAACAAAGTTTGTGCAGGAACTGCTGTGAGCTTTGAATGCAGTGCTGTTGCCAATCCACTAGTCCACACTTATTTGTTGTACGAGAATAATGTCATTAGATACAATGAAATATATGAAGTTCATATATTTCATTGGCCTGCTCCCAGTTGGCTTGTTAGCTCAATTGGTAGAGCGCTGCACTAGTATCGCAGAGGTCAGTGGTTCGAATCCCGTACAGGCCTGATTTTTTTCAGGTCTGATTTTCGCTATTGCTTAGATAGCGCAATCTACTGCGAGGATCGTGCATCATACGTAATAATGTCATTGTTTCAAATATGGGAAATTTAGGAACCGTGGTTAGGGAAATGGAAAATGCTGGCGAGTATGCCTTCAGGTGTGAGGCTAATAATTCTATTCAAGGACTTTCAAGAAGTAGGAATATTATGTTCACTTTTACTGGTAAGTAGTAGATGCCAAACAATTTTGTCTATCGCACTACAAATATAGTGCAAGAGTTGGCGCTTATTCGACTATGCTGCCGTGAGTCATGAATTGAGAGCTTCTCTAAAGGAAGTCTTTGGTATGTTGTTTAATCTCCTCTTCTTTTTAAATCATCCCTTTTTTTGTCACCTCAACCTTCCCTTTTCCGTCGTTATTTCTCCCATTTTGCTGTAATGAGGGTAGAATCTCCAAAATCGAACTGACCAAATTGAAAATTATCAGAAAAACTTTATATTCTACAGTTAAAAGATAGACCTTTGTGTGACACAGATCACTGCACAGCTTTTTAAAATAGTTGGTCTCGTTTGGTGCTTTTACATACATTTCAGGATCCCTTACTTGTCTTTTGCTGAACATAAAACTTCTTATTATTTTTCTTTTTACCTCACGCTCTGACTGAGGTCATACCATAAGGTCTAGATATGGAAGAAAATTCAATTACTCTATTTTGATCTTTTGGAAAATAAATTTATGCATTCAATCACATGTTTTTTAGTTTGGGGCGAGTGAAATTTGTAGTCTTTAAAAGTTATTAGTAATAATTTGTCACAAATTACATAAGAAAAAATTATGTGACAATTTGTAAACAATATACATAGAAAAAATTGACTCTGATTTCCTCTTAGTCGCGTTTATTCTCTTCTTCATGTGTATTATTACACGTACTTACATAATACAGTCTATTTTCCACACGTGACTAACGTTTTGGATCTTACACGCTTGCAAAAGCATGGCGCCCCTCTCACAGCATTTCCTCTACTTGAATGCAAAGTTGCCTTCCAAAGTCGGGAAATGATTTCAATAAAGCTTATTGATCATGTTGACTACGATAAAAATATTGAAGGTTTGTTATTCACTATCGCTGACTCGCAAACTAACAACCCATACCAAAAGCTGCCGTAAAACGGCAGACTCCCGTAATTAAGTTTGAACAACTGGCATCGACTCAGTCCTCGCTCTGGAAAGAGTCCATAAACCGGTAATGAAGACAGCAACTACGGAAGCAGCCAAAATACCAGTAGAAATTTGACAACAACAACAGCAAGGAGAAAAATCAATTTCAAATAGCTTAAAATACTTTTTCCTTTTCTTCATAGAGGAGTCAGTGGAAAGTACACCCACCACGCCATCAGCAACAACGCGTACAGGTAGATTAGCTCTCCTTCATTTGAGTTTTTTTTTTCTTCCAGATGATGTAACTGTATCATATCGTAGATCTGAGAAGGTTTGAGGAGCTTTTCCTTAAGGCTAGGCAAAGGTACACTTCGTAGTGAATTAGGCAGTGATCAAGAAAAGAAAAGCCAAATTTAACTCAGTGCAGATCTCACTGCAGATCTCACTGCAGATCTCATTTGAAATAGAAGAAGCGTTTCAAAAATCTTAGCTGAAGATCTGAAGCCGGAATCCTGAACACAGAAATGCAAGAGAAGTCGGGCGCTACTTTAGGTGACTTTGTACATGAAATGTGTCTCACGTGGTCGTGGCTAATGTGAGATGCATGGAACACGCAGTCCTTCGAGTGCTCTCTTTGGATCATTCAGTACAGCACATTGAATTTTGATAGGTCATTGAGAGATGGCACAGTATACCATAGATCAAAAAAGAAAATGACTGATTGAGGGAATGTTACGATTGTCCGTTTCCTTTTCTTTAAGTTCTCTTCCTTCGTTTATTTTCTCTCATTCGCTTATGCTCGCTAAGGCCCATGGTATCGCGTGAGCCTTTATGATTACGCCATCGCGGTCAAAGTACAGTTGGCCTTCAGTCGTTTAAGAAGTAATAAGTCGTAAGTCTAGGTCAATAAGTCAATTTCGCATTTCCCGATCAAGGAGC